TTCGTCTTAGAATCAATCCTTGAAAACGAAATATTATACGGCTGCGTCTAGCATGACATTGCGTCGCGCAGACTCCTAAATCGAAAAACTAGAAACGCTTTGCTACAAGTTGCTCCCTTTCGTACATCTGATTAATTCATGTCTCGAACGATGACTCCAGTCGACACACGCACGGCGTGGTCGGTCGTAGACTAGGTCAAGGAGAATGACTGTTACCTGAAGTCCACCTTCCCCGCTCTTCCTTCCCTTCTCTTTAATGAAAGGCATCCATCAGACGGACGCACGGTAATGCGATTTCCATTGATTGTTCAATTTTTGTTAACGTCAAACCATTACGATCTTTATGATTAGAAAGTCGGAAGAAAAAATAAAAATTTATTTGGACAATAAAATCCCGTTTGGCCGTAAAAATGTCGAAATAATAGTTTTCTTCAATTATAATGGAACTTTTTATTATTGTGTAATGTATGATTATGCTATATTCAATAGTTCGTAAAAGTTGAAGTAATAATTAACGATTGATTATTGTAAATATCAAACGATTATACAGGGTGTCCCATTTTAATCTATCACTTCAAATATCTCTTGAACAGTGCATTTTAAGGAAAAATGTTTCAGACAAAAGTTTTAGGACTTTGAGGGGGACATAAAATGGTGCCATTGGTTTGATTATCCTTGAAAACGAAATATTATACGGCTGCGTCTAGCATGACATTGCGTCGCGCAGACTCCTAAATCGAAAAACTAGAAACGCTTTGCTACAAGTTGCTCCCTTTCGTACATCTGATTAATTCATGTCTCGAACGATGACTCCAGTCGACACACGCACGGCGTGGTCGGTCGTAGACTAGGTCAAGGAGAATGACTGTTACCTGAAGTCCACCTTCCCCGCTCTTCCTTCCCTTCTCTTTAATGAAAGGCATCCATCAGACGGACGCACGGTAATGCGATTTCCATTGATTGTTCAATTTTTGTTAACGTCAAACCATTACGATCTTTATGATTAGAAAGTCGGAAGAAAAAATAAAAATTTATTTGGACAATAAAATCCCGTTTGGCCGTAAAAATGTCGAAATAATAGTTTTCTTCAATTATAATGGAACTTTTTATTATTGTGTAATGTATGATTATGCTATATTCAATAGTTCGTAAAAGTTGAAGTAATAATTAACGATTGATTATTGTAAATATCACACACAAACGATTATATATACATCTTTTAATCAAAAGATAGTCTTAGTATAAATGCTCTAAGACATACATGAAGAATATTATGTTAAGAAACAATGAATAATATATAAATAAATAGCTATTTTCTTTTATGTGTGTAATTGACATAATTATGAGAATATTAACGATAATGTAGATTTTAGGCATATAAAAAGCACTTACATTGGAAATTCTAAAAGCTTTCTTTTGCTATCAATTGAAGCGTCAAAATGTGTATATCCGAGATATAGATTAAATTAATGCAATACAGAAAACCAGAAATAGTCATTTAAAAAGTAAATTCTGTAGGAGTGTAATGTTGCTTCAAGTAGCCGTAAACAGGTTATACTGAACAAACACAAAGAACGTAATCATCTAGAAGTCGACCTTCGAGAGAAGATTACTATGCTTCGACGTTTGAAATTCCCCAGTCGTATATTATATGTCTCCAAGAGCCGAATACATGCAAACTTGATTACATTTTGCAATCGAAAGGAAGCACTTAAGTTTCGCATCAAAAGGATTTAGTTGGAGATGGACATATGTGTTGTTTTGTAAATTTTTATTTTATAGTGCCAATCATTAAGAAATAATCAATGCGGATTGCGATCGATACATTATATTTATATCTTTGTATTATTTATTGATCAAAATTATTAAATAATCGATTAATATAAAATATAATTTTTTAGTGTATTTTATCGTTGCATTTTTTCATAGAAAATCATACAACAAAACATTTTTTTTTTTATTTACAGTTGCATGAAGTGTGAAGTAAATTATGAATCGTGTCTATCTTCACAATAAATTCCCAAAAATTATGTATAACTTTGCATTGTTATATAAATCATAATGTAAATGTCTGTCCAACTGTCGACATCTTTTATAAATTCTGATTTCCAAATTTAAGCTTACACGAACATGGAATAATTTATGTCCTGGTAAAATTGGAAACGATTGAAACAAAAATATGTTAGAAGAAAAAGAGTAACGTACCGCTTGTAACGATAGAACTGCTAGTTTCCGACGATATACTCTTCTCCTGCTCGACTTTGCCTCTCATGCACTTCAGTATACTAATCTTGCATCCCATTCTTAAGACGAGCTCTCAGTTCGCGATGGGCCTTCTTGTTATCTCTCACATTGTCGAAAATTTCGAAAAGCATCCGGCCAGATTCTGAATCGTCAATGACAGCCGCGACAAGTATCGTTAGGTTACCTTTCATCGAAGGCGATTGGTAGAAGCAAAATCTCCTCTTTTTCGTTTAGAAAAAAAATAAGATTGCTGAGAATTCAACATTATTTAATTGAAACGTGTGCTTACCGTGCACGCGTGTGTGTAAAAATGCACGCTCATGCACCATATCAATTTGCTTATCTCGAGACCGAAGGAAACAGTTCTCTGCGCACTGATTTTGCATAACCCAAACATTGATTGTGCGAATACTATTTTACATTAATTAACGTATACACAAAAGATTGCGCTAATAAAGCCGAGACTAAACCACTTTAGAACGATATGCTAAATCGCTAAATTACTCGATTAAATAATCGAGTAATTAATAATGAGTACCGGTGAAATTTATGTTGCATCAACTGGGATTTTTTCAATCACTTGGAATTTTTCACTTTCAAACAGATTTAATAAACATTCGTAACGTTTGCAATACGCGATAGTTATTAATTATTCATTAAAAAGCCAGACAAAACGTTTGCTCTCGTCGAGACGAACAGAAATTTCGCGAAAACTCTGCAACCGTTAACGATTAAGTCGGCATTGAACACGCGTCAAGACCGAGGCGAAGATTTCGCGTGTACGAGGTCATACGTCAGTACAATTTTCTCAGTTAGCTTTATCTTATCTTCCACTGAAAGTGTCTACATGTAATTCAAAAGTTCCGCGACGCATCTCAAATAGCTGTATCACTTGGCAGCCACATAGCTGTATCCTCGGCATGCGCAATTAGAGACATTCTGCATGAGATAGCCGTTCACGTAAATCGTCCGATTACGCGTTGTGTGGGCATGAAATGGGCAAATAGTGTTGTGTGCATAATTATCGGAGCCACTGTTTTCATAGTGATACAAATCTGCAGTTCCTATACCAAGATACGGATATTTAAAGTTTAAAGTTAAAGAGATAGATAAGACTTTTAAGATAATAATCTTTAATAAATAAAAGTTTTTATTTTTTTGCTATCTTGAAATGTGTTATGCTCATGTAAAAAAAAAGATATAAAAGTAATGCTTATTATAAACGTTTGCAGATACTTTTTTAAGTAAAAAGGTAATCCAAATTATTTTTTATTTTTAATTTAAATTATAAGATATACCTACAAGTTAATAAATTCAATTATTAAATATCTGTGCAATAGTATTTATAGTAATTATTACTATTAAGCATATACATATTAATTATTATTAATATTAAATTTTGTTTATCGCCTTACAACACTAACAATTATATTAAAAAATATTTATTCAAAGGTATACGATGACTCCTGCTGAATTTAATGTAAAACGGATGGGACTTATGTTGGCGCTCGAAACATCAAGATAACGAATAAGATGTACACGTTTAACAATCGATTTAGAATAAAAATACACTTGAATTATTCGATAAAGAAGAATAAAGCCGTTAATTGCTCTAAGAAATAAACAATGATAACAGGCCAGTACGTTTGTACAGGCATGTACGTACGTTTACTGAGTGTGCCTATCACATGTTTTTTAACAATGTGTCAATCGTAGGTCGTCCAAATGAATCTCTGTTTTAGAAGAGGCGATCCTTACATCCGATAAGATCAACTTTGTAGTCTCGTTAAATTGCGGTGCAGAGAAATTTTTTCTCTTCGAAACGTTTGCCTCGCGCTGAAGTAGATGCGGTGCAAGTAGATACGGGACACTTGGTCAGACACGGTTCCGCGCTAACTACCGACGCGTATTCGGC